AGATGACCTCCACAGACTCCTGCAGCTCAAACAGGAAAAGGGTTACCTAACAACACTGTGGGTCAGGGCTGTCCCTGCTTTTCATGGAACCTACTAATGCCATCGCACGAATGAAGAAGAGTGGAGAGGAAATGAAATGAGTGCTGTTGAAGAGAGTTTAATTCAACCAAGGACATGAAAAGTCAAGCGCACAGCTACATCCACACCTGGTGAGGAGGGTTAGGAAAGAGAGACTTCCAGGCCCAACCGCAGACCCAACAAATCAGATGCGGCATGTGGACCACGTCCCCAGATGACTAGCCTGCGCTGGTCCCACCCCTACTTCTCGGGGAAACAGCAGGATCACCTGGAGAGCTTGATGGACGCAAACACCTGAGTCCGCCCAAGCGATTCTGATTCATCAGGCGGGCCTACGTGTTGAACACGGACGCCCCAGAACCCCACATGGGCAGGCCACGGTCTGAACGGCTCCAGCCCTCCCAGGGGGCCTCTCCGGGGCTGTCATTCATCCACACTCATCCACCTAGCGCAGGACCAGGGCCTTCCCTGGCTATCCATCCCCCAGGAACCCACACGTTTCTTTCACTGTTGGAAGCTGTCTTGCTAGGTCGTCGTCTGCCTCCTCGCCCCGCCTAGAACCTAAGCTGCAAGACAATGAAGCCCTCGGGTCAGCTCTCTCACCCAGGTGCCCACTGACCAGGACCATCCCATCAGAAAGCACCCACCCCACCCCAGCCCCCCATTCCGGGTGTTTAGGACACACCAAGCGGAAGGACGCCTTAGTACCCGGTGGCGGCCGGGAGGGCGCTGGGAAAGCGGGGCTGGGGGAGACGGAGGACACGGAGGGGGAGGGGAGGAGGACAGAGGACACGGGACCCAGGGACGCCTGCTCACCCCGACTCTTCCCTCGCCAGTCCCGCCGCCCCACCCCACCGCCCGCTGCCCTCCCACCGCCCGGCTGCCCGCTCGAAGGCCGCCCAGGCCTGCCGCCCTCGCCCTCCCGCCTCCCGGAGCTGCCCCCCGGACTGGACACCTGCAGGCTCCGGCCTCCGACCCACGGCCGCCGAGTCCTCCGGAGAGCCGAGCGGTTAGACTCAGAGAGTCATTTTAAATGGGAGTTAAACTCTCTGGTCCGAAAGCCGATTGGCCTGGGCTAGAGAGGCGCTGCTTTCCCATTGGTTCACAGCCGCGCCGACGGCCCGGATCAGGTCCAAGGGAGGGGCGGACGCCGGCGCGCAGGCCCCACTTGCTCCGGTCAGGCCCCCGGAAAGTGGGGGAGCCCAACGGCCCCGGCCGGCGGACTCACGCCTGGTTCCGGGCCCCCGCCCCCGCCTCCCCCGGGAGGGGAACGTCTGGTCTGTGGAAAACGGAAACCCCTCTTGGGCGCCTGTTGTTTGTCCCCGTAAGGAGAATAAAAGTCCGGGAGGGAAGGTGAAGCGACCCCTTCTCCAAAGATCCCCAAGTAAGGTAAAGAATGGCGAAAACGGGCGGGGGCCCAATGGGGCCCGAATCGAACCGCGCGCAGGCT